ACAATATTTTAAGATTACACCGGAATATTTAATAATACTTCATGTTAATATTCTGGAATACTGACATAACAAAAATTGCCACCGAAATTATGTAGAGACTGACTTGAAAATGACCCGTCGGGTCAACTCAAATTAAAATCATCAGTCTTCTTTTATAATAATATCGAATGCACTGAACTAGTTTGCGTTTGCACAAATCAGCAAGTATTGTGTGTGCAAACCATACCATAACGTAGTTATATTTTGACGCAAACTAATTTAAAAATACGCACACGAAACCAAATACTGTCGTAACTCAAAAATGGTAGAATTGAAAAAACAAGATTTGAAAGTTCAAAAAAATTACTGAATGGATCTTATTGTGAATAACAGGATTCTTTTTGTTTATACATAATATTTATCCACTTATAAACGAAAACATATATTTTTTAGATCCATTCTTTAATATTTTGAACTTTGAAATCGTGTTTTTTTTAATTCCACTATTTTGAGTTAGGACGTATTTAGTTTTAGTGTAAGTCAAGATTTATTCGGACGGCACCATTCGTCTGGGATACACAAATTAGGTCCTTTTCGAAGAAATGATTAAGGAAAACACGATGTAATAACGCGCGTAAAGCAAAACATTCGAGTTATACTTTTGGAGTTAAAAATTTATCTTCCTTTTTCGCAATATCGTCACAACAACTTAGTTTCAACATCACAATACCATCTATTTTAAGAGCGTTCAAATTGCCGAAACTATATCGAACAATATTGCAAAACCCACGTTCCTAATTAAGTACCTGCTTTTTACGATGACGAATCTACAGAATAATAAATCAAATACGTAACTGGTTACCAATTTATAAATGTAAATAAATAATTATAGTTAGTAAACAGCAATGGGTACATAAAAGAGGAGAATACATAATATCAATGTACCGATTTCTCTTGAGCTAGTTTAGACGTAGTCTTTTCAAGGCTAGGGATCATTGAACTGACTGCCAAACGAAATTGACTTTTGCTCACAACGACATCCTACAAGGACAAACGCGTCACGAGGCTTTCGAGCGTCATTGACATTGGGACAGCGGCGCCTCAACGATATACGATATGGAAATGTGAGTCCATTCAAGTACAACCGCCAGTGCTGTCAGAGACGTTTTGATTTTTAGAGATGCAGTTGCTAATCGTCTACCTTTACACACACGCGCAAATAAGCAGCGATACAATCGCGATTCAAACGCGATGCAGCTATACGATCGCGATGCAATCGCTAATCGCTAGTGTCACACTACGCAGATTTGCATTGATGTTAAAAGTCACCGTGTGAAACCGCTCTCTCATCATCACGTAAAAGTTCATACCACAAGCGAGCTCGCGATCGTGGTAACACTGTACTCGTGTTTCGGCCACCCGTCGCACACTGGGACTTATAGACAGGCGCCACACCTTCGAATGCAACACGTTCAAAGACAGCAGGTGATGTTGGAAAGTTTGAACACTTGACCGTTAGCGAATTTCCTTTGCATCTTGCTTTTACGTGATCTCATAATGATTGATAATGGATATTGGTACTTGGGTGTAACGGGCTGGTATCCACAACTCGACGTCAAGGCGCCTATGGACGATGGATATTATAAACTTTCCGAAAACAACACCCGAACCTGCGTATGGCTAGTGGATCTGTAGCCAGCAATGTCCAATTCCGATTTAATAAATATACGTACATGCTAAAACAGCAGGCCAAAGCTACTACCACTTGTGTAATGGTAGTAATTCCTATTCATAAACATTGTGTTTATAAAACAACACATTGTTATCTGTTGTATAAAATGATGGTCACTTAAGACAATTTAACTTTACTAAGATACTTTCACACTAGGGTACAGTTATTGCATTGCAATTGCTTACTAACAGTCGTTGTGCATTCATGGTGACTGCACAGGGCTAGCAGAGTGCCCTAGTAGTTGGTAGTCGTGATGCAGTTGTGTCAATCGTAACCAAGCCGCTTTTCTACTGCATTTATGATCATTACCAACCTCGGAAGCCCAGCGTTTAGTACAGGCAGATGACCAGGTCCTGGGTTTGACTCATTTGGAAAACAAATGTGGGTGCATGCAATAATGACAATCCCGGAGGCAATTTCGTAGGTCAGATACTCATAATATAGGGAGTTACCTACTTTGCTACCAGGGAATTGATGTAGTTGTTGGGATGATCCTTTCAACTAATGCTAAAACGTTATACAACAAACTGAAGACAAATGTCAACATGTTTCAAAACTTTTATAGAGTTTGCTCTGAGCACAATACAAAGCAAGTTCCACACACATCAAACCATGTACAGATGTCAATTTTATATGACAACCAAAGGCATGTGCATCAGTCCTCATACTGTCCCATTTTGACTAATGAAATTTTAGATGATTTATAAATGGGATAGATAATAAAGTGTTTTTATGTATGTTAAGACGTCCTTAGCATCTAAATATTAGATGGGGTGCCACTGCTTAGCAACTGAACACAATGATTCTTATTTAGTCTAGGGAGTACCAAAACACTTGCTACTCTCAGAGACCTACCACTATGCCTAAACTCAAATAAAGTAACTGTTAAAGCAAAACATGTACTATTAATTTTATCAAACGATTTAAAGCTAACTATTCAATTGGCTGAATAAGGGAGCACCGTGGCTTGAAAGATTATATGTTGTCTAAAAAAGGATGGATGTTAATAGAATAATGACACAAAGTTGTAGAATGAATGTGGAGATGTGGGAAAGGGCAACCTCGGCAAATATATCTCTGACAGCGATGTTTTTGCAAGTACATGGGTGGTTGTATGTAACGAATGTTTGAAGTTTTGTGGGAGGATGGATGAGGAACTATCATCTGTGAATTACTATTAATAATTTCTAGTTATGAATTTCAGTGACTGTAATGCTGAATAACTGTACGAAACAAATAATAAAAATTTATCTACAAAATTCAGGATATCCTTAAAAATGCTCGATAAAAAGTAACACAACCAAATAGAGTGTACACAAAGACTGAAGCTAGTGACGGTCGGTTAAGTGTATGTCAGGGATGGGCCATAATCTTGGGTCTACACCAGTGGGACAGTGGATATAAAAATTTACTTTAACATCACAAATGTGATGTGTTAATATTTCCCACATTGCCATTAACAGGTATTGTCTTTACAAATAAAACACCAAGTATATAAAAGTAGGTACATATTACAACATTACTGAATGTCAGTTACAAATATAAGCCATAACACTAGAGGTCACCAACAAACACCTAAAAATGAACTCTAAACCATGAGCTATTTTATGGCTGCAATTCAAATTGTCTGATTGCAGAGCCAATGCAAGTATAGTAATTGAAGCAATTGAGAAATTGCATTTAAATACAAATGCTCAGGCATCGACGTTTCTATCCACGCTTGTAACAAAGGCTAATGTCTAGACCTAACTAAAGGTGACCTAGACATTATTAGGAAGTCAAACTAAAAACTGCACTGATAACAATTGTACACCACACATTGCTATTGGCGAAAAACAAAGAGATTGTGAAGATAAATCCCCTCTGACGACACCAGACATAGCAAAAGCGGTAAATTAGTAAACAAAACAACTGGGCGGATATAGCACGATGCCTAACCAATTCTATACCACGAAACCTCATGAAATAATATAGGCATAATAAGATACCGTTTTTAGAGGACGCTTATTAGGGAAATTGAGAAAATTATCATCTACTTTTGGTAGAAATCAGGACAATGATTCATTGTAAGTGGACCGCAAGGGCGGCGAACGAAAGTCGACAGATAACGCAGTTTCCACCGGAATTTCTAGTAAAAACGCCACAAACACACTTTTCCGCCCGATAACCAAGCTCACGTAATCGGATTCAAGCACATCCAAGACGAAACTCGATGGGCAGCGGCACATGTGGGGACGCCATTCTTTTGAAGCACCATCCTTGGTATCAAAATGACAGTCTTTGTTGGAAAAATAACCACCCACTACACCAATTCACATCTTGTTTGCACACACAATAGCACAGAATAGAACCTCAACTTTCATTTTTACCTTATTTCTACAAAAATTACGGAGAAAAAACTTGATTGCTAATAAAATTTACTGAATTCCATACCTGTGAATGCGCTCTCAAACGCAAGCTGGTCACGTGACTTGCTAGAGCTGCTCAATACCTTGATTTGATTTTACCGGTCTGATATCGATATTGTCAAACTGTTTTCTCAAAAATATTTTTGAATTTGGTGACTACTTCAAAAATAATCTGTTTCTTTTTCCATTAATTTTAATGACACGCATAAAATTCTTACCAAAACGGCTTAAATGTAAAAGTTACTTATGTAAAAAATATGTATCAAAAATAAATAATCCGGTTTCGGAAACACTACCAAAACGGAAATACTTCTTGATTTTTCAACGATTTTAAATTTACGAACGAAATACGGAGAACAAGAAAGCCAGTATACGTTCTGAAACGTTGTTGAGGATCGTATTCCAGAATTCTACTCAATGCTCAAGTCAGGACTTGAGTATGCTGTCAAACACTGGGAATACGACCCTAATGGCAAGGACTTGCATATGATTTCCAGTGCTTCAAATCATACTCAAGACATGACTTGAGCACTGAGTAGAGTTCTGGAATACGACCATAAGTTTCTTTTTAGTTTTTAATTCAAATAAAAATACTAAATGATGTTTTATTGCGATGATAAGTGAAAATTGAACAAATGCTTGAAAATGATTAATAAAATGGTAGATCCATCAATATAACAAAAATTATTGAAAATCTCCACTCTACATTTTACAGATTGCATAAATTACAATAGCGTTTGTTTGTTAAATTGTTTAGATAACATACAAAAATAATTTATTACATTGATTGGCACATCAAATTTTAATGTGTATATTACAGATAAAAAAAAAAAAAAACAATTAACCATAGATAACGAACATATCAATCATCTAAGTTTCCCGCGGAAAATGCTGTCATGTAATTTCTTTTTACTTTTTACTTCGTTTATTTCGATGGAGCCACAATTTAGAAAGTTATAGTCATAGCATTTAAAAGAAGATCTTTGTGTAAATTTCTTTAGAATGTCCTTACTTGAGGATATTTTCCTCGAAGATGAGGCTGCTGAAGCTCAAGACTTAGAGCGAGTCATAGAGGGTGATGAATTTGACGAAAGACCGCGGTCACGTAGCGATAGTGATGACAACAGTGAAAAGGAAGACGAAGCAGGTAAATAAATCTAACAAAAACAAACTGCATTATATTCTATAAATTCACACCAATTACCTGGTCTTAATTTAGGGAATTGTGTAATAATAGGAACAGAGTAACGCAATTTACTGCAGTTACTTATGGTCATTGAATTGAACCCGGTTTCTGCTCAGTAAACGTTTAACTGACTTGCTTAATGCGATTCCATATTGATAACTCCCTAAATTGGTAAGGCACCAAGGTTTTATTATCTGTTTCAGTTGAAGAGAAGCAAAGAGTGGACCCAACAAAAGCTAAGCAGAGACGTGTTGTTAAAAATCCTAGATTCGTTCTCAATCCCGCACGACTGACAGGCCCTAGGGGCATAGCCTGTATCCCGGAATATTTCAAGGATTTTAAGTTCAAAGGTATTTTTTTTTGGCATATTCATCATCATACATAGTGTTCATTTTGTAAATGTTACGGTCCCACGAAATAATTGATGATTTCGCCAATGTAAAGTTGAGAAACAAACACATTTACTCAAAATTTACTGGTGACGTTGACAGAATTCACTGAGAGGAGAATTTACAAAAAACCTACACAGACAATTACTGTAACAAATTTTTTTTCAATAAATTTACACAGCACATGCACAAGGGAGAGTGCACTAATTTGGTATTAACGGAACGGGGGATGTTAGGTGGGAGGATGTCATTATATTGTGTTTGTTTGCCTAAAATACCTAAGTTTTGGTGCAATTTAAATATCTCAGAATGTTCTTTATATTGGGTATATAAATTGTAAATAGTTTTGTTTTCAAAATCAGTGGCTACAATCTATGGTAGCTACCATGTCAACATGCCGCATGTATAAACAAAGACCTACTAAAATTTTTGTACTCTATTGTTAAAAAACTATTATGAGGAACTATAAAGTGACCATTTAGTGTAGAAACAATATAGCAAAATTAAGAAGAATTAAAAGAAAAGCTTGGAGTATCTCATCATCATCATCATATCAGCAGGAAGACGTCCACTGCTGAACGTAGGCCTCCCCCAAAGATTTCAGGACTAGTCCATGAGTTTGGTGACTAGGATGCCAAGGACAGACACATAGATAAGGGCTTCAAACATGTAACTCCCTCTTTTTACAATCAAGGGTTAAAAACAGTTATAACTGTAGAAAATTGAGATGGGCAAATTTGACCCTTCTTTGCCATTACATACAGTTATTAAAATTTTAGGTAAAGGCCATGAAAAAGAAGACTTGGATCTAATACTTAAGAAACTAGAACACTGGGCATATAGACTGTATCCTAAATTCAAGTTTGAAGACTGCCTCAAGAAAATTGAAGCTCTTGGCAAGAAGAGATCAGTTATGGTATGTACCTTACATTGCAGTAGACATGTGATTCCATGCTGATGATTAGTCTATGGTACAATATGGTGTCTATTACACCATAGTGGTGTTAGCAACTCGATGTTGAAAAGCCTGTTGTTTGGAACATCCCATGTAATTGTCCTCGCAACTGTCCATTAAAGTTACAGATGCTCTGACACTAACATTATACACTCTTTTTTTTTATAATAACAAGTGATGGGACGAACAAGTCGTGCGCCTGATGGTAAGCTACCTAAGCCTGTCCATAACAGTTGCAGTGCCACTCAGAGCTTTAAATCGCAAAGATCAGCGGGGCCACTGCGCCCATCACCCTGAGACATAAGTTGACAAGTCCCGTGTGCCTGTAATTTCACCAGCACCCTTACCCTTCAAAACCGGAACACAGTAATGCTGACATTACTGCTTGGCATCAGAAATAGGTAAAGTGGCAGTACTTCCCTGGGTGAACTCTTTTTCAAGGAGCTCTACTGTTATTAAACTCATTGTGACAACTCAGGCGATAAAGACCCATAACACGAAACTATTGTTATGTTTAATCTTTATGTTTAAATATTTTTATCTTACTTTCCTTTTGCCTGCCAATTTTGTCCTCAAACTGTTATCTTCACTCAATGAATTTGCTAGAACTAGTTTTTCTTCTGCTTTCACAGGTGCATCTGCACAAAATCCGTTCAGGCCAACTTGCCACTGAAGAGACAGTAGTTCAAAAAGACTCTAGTGATGAGGAAGCTCCTGCTCAGGAAGAGGACGAATTTGACAAGCTTCTTCAACAGCAGATCGAATTGGCCCATGCTACACCTGCTCCAGATTCTGTGAAGAAAGGATTCATGACTCCTAGCATTGACAAGAGGTGATATTTAATTTATTGCTTAGAAACTTGAAATCACTTCGATGGTGAATATTTATGATATTAGGAATACATAAGACATAAGTTTTAAATTAAGATAGAAACAACCTGAAAAATCCCATGAAATTTTGTCCTCCATATAAAGCAAGTATATACCTAAATTTTATACATTAAATCTATGTATAAAATTTAGGTATATACTTGCTTTCAAATTTTTTATATTAACAGGGATCTTATAGAAAGGTATATAATGTCAAAGGTATAGTTTATTACCCCTTAAATTAAGTAAAGCCCTTTATTATAAAAAAAATAAAAATTACTGTGTTCTCACTAATACTTTGAGATCTATTCTAAAGATATCTATTGAAGTCTGAAGAATGAATCTGAAGATTTATATAGGATTGTAGAAGTTTAAAAGATATATTTAGATCCGACATTAGTTTCCAGACATTAAAAAACTAATTCAATTTACTTCTACACCACATCACCAGTCTGTACTAGCACCACCAATTGAGTGAGTTTACAGAATTTTATGTTCACAAGAAAGCTTAAAAAATACAATTTTCTTAATAAACTATTTTATATTTCAGATCACCACACTTGTTGTCAGCGCCGAAAGCAACCGCTTCACCTTCTATAAGCGACGAGCAACGTGAACGTATAATGCGAAACCGTAGATTAGCTGAGGAACGTAGGTTGGCGCGGTTAAAGAATAATACGTTAAATATCTCAACAAATTCAAATACGGAAGCAAGCACCACAATTGATCTAACTTCTGTTGATAAAAGTGTAGACAACCAAAATAACACACAAAACGATAAAGGTACAAGAATAAAAAAGACCAAAAAATCATTTGTTATTGACTCTGATGACGATGATGTTTCGAATAGCGTAAATCCACCATTGGAACACCATTCCATAGAAAACAAGGATGATTGTAATGTCACTGAAACAAGCCAAATTGGTAACTTTACAAATATTAACAGTCAGAATAATATAGTTGCTCAAAATGAGGTAACTGATTTGGTTGATATCACAAAAGGATATGAATTTCGCAATAATAAAAGCAATCACAAAATTAACGAAGTCATTGATTTGGTTAACACTGAAGTGCAGGACAGTAACATTATAATTGGGAATAATGACTCTAACAGTTCAGATGATGAATGTGACTTAAATTCTGTTAATATATCCATCACTGCTGATGTTCACAAAGGTGATAATAAAAATAGTGATATTGAAGAAAATGACAATAAAGGAATATTGGAAAAATCTAAAGAAATTTCTAAAGATTTTGGTGAAAAAGAATTATCTGAAAATAAAAACAATTCAGTTAAAGTTTTTCTAAATGAAACTGGAATAAGCCAAGAAAATGTACATGCAATTGAAGAGAATACAAATTTTCAGAACGAAAATGTATCCAATGTCAATGAATTTGATACAATTGATAAAGAAAATATTGATAGTAACATTGCTCAAAGTCTTGGATTAGACGACTTGATGGATATCGATTTCTCCAATGATTTCTAGCTAACACACCCTTTGAAATTTCATGGTGTCCAAGGTATAGTCAGCTAACAGCAAGATCTTTATATTTGGACCATGCTGTTGTACATGACATACAGATGAATTTAAATCGAGATTAAGCAACAGACTATAGGCGAAACATTGTGTTTTGTACTAGCGGCGGTAGACAATATTAGATTAGCACATCTTATTTCAATTACCACTGTTTTATGTCAGAATTTCATATCGGAATTGTAGGAATAATAAACATTTTTTTTAAATCACTATTTTTTTTATGATACCAAGTACAAGTGACGGAACGAACAAGTCATGCGCATGATGTTGGTCGGATGACCCTCCAGGCGATTTTTATCAAACCAGTCTGGAGGCCTACTCCCGTTCTCTGTCCGAAACAATTATTGTCAAATAAGTAATACTCAACCAAATCATAATCTCAGTACAAAGTACTAAAAAAACCGACCTCAAAAGTACGTGGAATTACATCTGTTCGCCACTATACAGGACTTGACACAGGAGATAATAAAAATCAGTTCTCACTACTCAAAGTATATTGCGAGGGGAAAACGCCTTGAATTGGAGAACAGCAAAATAAACCATTAAAATAATTGGTACTTATAGTAAAATTTAGGCGCTATTTACAAAAAATTAATTTTCATGCGTGAACAGCCACCCTTAGAGGTAGATGATTTTCTTGAAAATGAAATGGGACCACTATGGAGGTACCCTCTTTCCAACAAAAAAATTATTAGTAGTTATTATGGTTATTAAGATCAATTTTACACAAATTGTACATGCAGCAATAATGAATACATAAATAATTTGGTCGAGTATTACTTATTTGATAGTAATTGTTTAGGACGGATGTCAAAGGAGAACAGGAGTAGGCCCCTGGTCAAAGTCTATATCAAGTGTGATCACTAGTCGGTCAAACATCGAGTATATAAGGTTATATACTCGATGCAGGCAAACGACACTAAATAAAATACCATCCAGTATTCCGCGTCCATCAGTCGTCCAGCTTTAAAAAAAGATCACGAATAAAATAAAAAAAGATCACGTCCAAAAACGACGAACGTTAAACTTAACTGCCACCGTGGCCGAACGGTTACCATGCCGGACTGCCACGTAGAGGTCCCAGGTTCGATTCCTGGGCCGGGAGAAATATTTGTATGGCCTACATTTATTTATCTCGTGAGTTTGGGTGTAATTTGTAGTTGTCTATGTGTGTGTCCATGGCACCCGCAACACAGGGTTTCCCTAGTGCGGGGCTATGTTGAGTGTGTGTGTTATTTATTTATTTATTAAACGCTATGGCCCATGGTCACGGTTGACCGAGATGATGTTAGTCTTCAACCAGTTCTGCCGCCAGTAGTTGGAAGGAGGCGCTTGTGACAAATACTCAAAACGGAGAAAATATTGTTTTCAGAAATAAAATTTTAAAAAAAAGTACTTTTTTTCTTGTGGTAAACTTCATAGATTATCCACCAAGGAAAAAATAGTGATAGATCGGCCTATTTTTACTGGTCACGGCATGGCAGTATACGCGCGAGACGGCTCAATGTTGCATACTGTTTTAAGTTGCTTCTGAACATCATACCTGAGGAGTTGACCGCCACATTTCCGCCTACCCTCCACAAGATTAGGGAAGAAGATAATGAAATATGTATCTAGTACAAAAATCTACTGTAGTTATCAGTCAATAATCTCAGTACAGAGTACCAAAGAAAACCGACAAAAGTACGTGGAATTACATTTAATTACCAAGTTTTATTGAAATCGGTTACCGGATAGTGCGCAAACCCGGATTCATCCCCTAGTTCGCCACTATACGAGACTTGACTCTGGAGATAATAAAAATCGGTTCCTGTGTCAAGTCCTGTATAGTGGCGAACTAGCGGATATTTCACTAAAACTTGGCAAATAGACGTACGTACTTTTGAGGTCGGTTTTTTTAGTACTCTGTACCAGTGTTGGGCGTTAATCAATTAAATTTCAATCAATAATTCAATCAGATTAAAAAATCAATTCAATTGAAATCAATTGCAATTAAATCAATTGCGATGCAATTGAATTTAATTGCAATTAAATTTGCAATTAAAATCAATTCCGGCCGGTTGGGAGCCCGGTTGGGAGCCCGGTTGGGGGCCCAGGTTGGGGGCCCACACGAACAGTCTATAAAAATTCAAAATTTTAGTCATATGACACAAACAACGTTAAAAATCAACAAAATAACAAAACAAGATGAAATTTTCTGTCTTAATCGTTCATAAGTATAACTATAATATAATAGATTATTATCGACATCAATCAATATTGTCATCAATTGCACAATATTGTTGGAACTCTGACGGCCGTATTTCAGAACTCTACTCATAATTCATAATTCATAATTCATAATTCATAATTCATAATTCATTTAATCCTTTGTGATACACAGGTTATAAAGGTTCATTACATATTTAGTTAGTGTCACTGTGATCCGCCCAGCGGCATACAAAGTTTATTCGCCTAGCGGCGTACAAAGTTTATACATTTGTCATAAAAATAATTAAAAGTTCAAATAATTGATTAATTGATGAAATAAAAATTATATAAGGAATAAGTCAAATCAACATTCTAATATAAAATAATAATAAAAAGCAATTATAGTTAAATTTATACATCGTCAGTCAAATTAATTCTTGCACATTTTGCTCAGTCTGATTTTATATAATCAGTCAAATAATCATTAATATTATAGTAACATTGAGTAACCAATAAATTAAACAACTTAATTTTGAATAGACTGTAATTTAGTGTCTTTATGGTCTCTGGTAATTTATTAAATAATTTGGGTCCCAAAACAAATACTGTGTTATTGTAGAATTGCAAGTTTGGTAGTTGTTTGGGCCGTATTACAAGGTTATTTCGTGCTTTCCTAGGATAACTGGTTTGTACCGAAGAGAATTTGTCTGGATTTTGTTTAACAAAAATACATGCTTCATAGATGAATAGCGAAGGTAGAGTCAGGATCTTAAGTTCCCTAAAATAAGGTACGCAACTTACTCGTTGTCCTATTCCGAACATTGCCCTGACACATTTCTTTTGAGTTTTAAATAGTGGCAAAATATGTGTTAGAGCAGCGTTACCCCATAGCAATATACCATATCGCAGACTAGAGGCCACATATGCATGGTAAGCACATAGCGCCGTGTTTCGAGAAGTAATTTTAGTTAAGTTTTTTAGTACGTATACGTATTTACTCAGTTTAGTCGTTAGATTTGAGATGTGTGTCTTCCAGTTCAAGTGACGATCAAGAGTAATGCCTAAGAATTTACTCTCATTAACTTGCATAATTTTTTGTCCGTTATAATTGATCGTTAAGTTTTTAGGTCGTGATTGTGGCAGAAAGAACTGCATAAATTTTGTTTTTTCTATGTTAACTACTAACTCAATGCTCAAGTCAGGATCTGAGTATGATTTAAAGCACTGAAAATCATACTCAAGTCCTTGCCATTAGGGTAGTCCAGTGTTTGAAATCATTCACAAGTCCTGACTTAAGCATTGAGTACTTCTGGAATACGACCCTTAAATCACATTAATATTTTAATGTTTTTTTCATGATGTTCTACGTAATATCTCAATTCTTACAAAATAAAAAAACCGACCTCAAAAGTACGTGGCATAACGTCTATTTGCTAAGTTTTGTTGAAATATCCTTAAATTCGCCACTATACAGAATTTGACACTGGAGATAATAAAAAATCGGTTCTCGATACTTAAAGAATATTGAGAGAAAAACGCCTTGAATTGGAGAAATAGCAAAATCAACCATTAAAATAATTGCTCCTTAAGAAAATTTTGGCGCTATTTATAAAAATGAATTTTCATGCGTTACAGCCACCCTTGGAGATGGGTGATTTCCTTCAAAATGAAATGGGACCACTATGAAAGTATCCCCTTTCCAACAAAAAAAAGAACCATGAAAATCGGTTCACAAATACCGGAGTTATCGCGTAACATACATACAAAAAAAAACAGTCCAATTGAGAACCTCCTCCTTTTTTGAAGTCGGTTAAAAAAGGAAAACAAAATAAAAATCTAAGTTTTTTTAGGAGCCCGTAGTACGATACCCTACTTATTATCAGTAGCAATGGTTTGACATCATCAAAATCTTCATCTTCTGTTTCCGCCTCCTCTGCAAGCCATTCTGATTTTTCGTAATTCATGTTGTGTCTACACTACAACAAATAGAGTAATAATGAAACGGCCCTCAGAGTCCCTACAATATTGTGCAATTGATGACAATATTGATTGATGTCGATAATAATGTATTATAGTGTTATTATACTTATGAACGATTATATAAGATAGAAAATTTCATCTTGTTTTATTTTGTTGATTTTTAACGTTGTTTGTGTCATATGACTAAAATTATGAATTTTTATAGACTGTTCAACTAATAAGTGCAAATTAAAAACAATAATAAGTAAATAATGTTTTCTTATTTTCATTTAAATAGATGAAAGACTTTTTTTATCATGTGCTATATACACATCATGAAATTATTCAATTGTCTTCTCAAACTGAACGTGTAAAGTTCCGGTCTCAGACCGCACGCGACTGCTTATGTTCGGCGCAAGGGTGTAACCACTGGAAGGTTAAAGAAATTCTAGCTCTTAAATTTTTTTTTCAATTTGGTGAAAGATTAGTTCTGCACATTTTTTTACAATTACTTTAAAATCGATCTTTAACTTCATATATGAGTGTTTTTATCTTACGATGCAGAAAGCTATTTCCGAAAATTCGTAATTAAAGAATTCGTAATTAATTATTATTCGATCGTATTAACCACTCTATGTGCGCTCTTTTTATATATAAACCGAAACCTAAACATTTATCTACTCATTTGGAACACCCTATTGCGACGATTGTTAATAACACAAATAAAACCATAAATAAAAAGTATTTGCAATTCCATTCCAAATTTTATTTTAAAGAGGTGCAAACAAAAAAAATC